TGGTGAAGGAATCTGTGAAGACGACTATGGTGGTCATCCCCCTAGGCGTTTCGACTAAGTTCTCAATCAAGTCAACGAAGAGAACTTCAAATGGGAACTCGGAGACCGTAGGATGCAACCTGTTATGTTTCACTCGACTTCCAAATTGCTGGCAACGGCCGCAAGACTTGACCCAGTGGAATACATCCCGTCTCATCGTTGGCCACCAACACACGTCACGAACTGTTGCTAGGGTAGACTCTGCTCCATAGTGACCGCCCTTGTCGTGTGCCTCCTTCAGCACACCCTCGACTTCATCCTCAACTACGCACCTCTTCTCTCTGTTGTCGGCATCTCTATACAGTAGGTCACCTTCCTTCGTCAGTCGAAACCTGTATGCCTGTCTCTTGATCCTCCTCATTTCAACTTTGTCTTCTAACTCCAGTCTCATCTCGGCTAGGTACATGTAGAAGTTCGCGTACCATTGGCTCGCCAGCCACTTTTCTCCTGTGGATTCTGCCCTTCGGCTCAGACACTCTGGCACCTCGTCATCGATGTCATCCGTGGCTATTCCTTCCGACATAATGCGACTCATCCCGTCTGCATTGCCGTTCTTCGTACCTGGTTTGGTCTTAATGACCAGCTCGAATTCCGACAGAATCATCTGCCACCGCGCAGGTCGACCAGTCAGATCAGTCTTGGAAAACAACCATTTGAGTGGCGCATGGTCTGTGTAAACGACAACGGACCTACCCAGGATGTAAGGCCGAAACTTCTTGACGGCTATGACAACGGCGAGGCACTCTTGCTCAAAGGTAGAGTAGTTGCGTTCGGCTCCTTGAAAGGTCTTCGAGTAAAAGTAGACCGGTCTCAACTTACCCTCCTCATCTTCTTGTTCTAGCACTGCGCCCATAGCGTATTTGCAGGCGTCACACGAGACCACCCAATCCTTCTCGAAATCTGGAGCCTTAAGTACCGGAGCTTGAATTAACTTGGCTTTGAGACCCTTTACTGCGGCCACCTGTTCAGGACCCATGGTGAAGCTTGCACCTTTCTTGAGGAGCCTCGTCAGCGGCTCTGCAATCTGAGCGTAGCTTTCGACGAACCTTCGATAGTAGCCCGTCAAGCCCAAGAATGCACGTACATCTTCCTTGCTACGTAATGGGGTGAAATTCTTGACCTTGTCAACTTTGTCTGGCATGACCTCAATTCCATCTTTGCCGACCACGTGGCCAGTAAACTTCACCTTGTCATACCCGAAATGGAGCTTACTAGTCTTGTACTTGACTCCTCCTGCGCGAGCTGCCGCAAACGTATGATCGAGGGCTCTCAAATGCTCTCCCCAGGTCATCGTGCGCACGCACACATCGTCCATGTACGCCTCAAGCACTCTTCCGATAAGGTCTGAGTACACTTTTCTAACGAAGCGACTGAAGGTATGTGGCGCGTTCTTGAGCCCAAATGGCATTACCTTGTATGCAAACGTCCCAAAAGGCGTACGGAAGCCAAGATACTTGACATGCTCTTTTTTGATGCCAATCACGTAATAACCTTGAAATCCGTCCAGGCTACTGTAGTACTCGAATCCGCCTAAGTTGTCAAGTATTTCCTCGATGTTTGGCAGTGGCCAGCTCTCCCTTTCGGTAACCTTATTTAGGCCTATGTATGCGACGCACTTGCGCAAGGATCCGTCTTTCTTAGGAGCAAGACTCAGCGGCGCGCACCAACTCGCTCTCCATCTCTATGATTTTTCCTGCCTTAAGCTCATCATCAACACTCTTCTTAAGGAAGTCAAGCTCCTTCGGCGAGTACCGTTTGCACCATCCTACGTACACTGGCTTGGCGCCTGGTTGAATGTTGATCTCATGTTCTAAAATAGACGTCACTTCGAGGTCCTCAAGGTTGGTAGTCAGCCTGTCCTTATTCTTTTCAAGTAACTCCACAATCTGTCCGTATTGCTCATTGGACAAATTTGGGTTGATGTCCACGTTGACTCCGTCAACCGCGAACGGCTGCCTTTTTACGCGAGCATCGTCATTCTCGCACTGTATCTTGCTAGAGAACACTCTTGCGGTCATCGCCTGCAGATCCGGGTCACCAACCTCTATTGTCTTCACTCTCAAGGCTCTGTACCCTGCATCAGCATCGGATTCTTCCGTCTCGTAGATTGATTCGTCATCCTCATAGTCGTCGTACTCATCATCATACTCATCGCTCTCATCAGACAAGTACGTTGATGTCGTAGGCTGAGGGGTTGAGGCGCGAACATTTAGACCGCCACCAAGGGTGATAGTCCTTCCCTCACTCTCCACGTAGTACACGATACCGTTGCTCCAATCAGCCTTGGCTTTTCAGCGCCTTGAGCCAGTCATCGCCAAGGAGGAAGTCATATGTGCCCTTACAGTCGATCACTCCCATCGACATTCTCAGGGGGATCCCGGACACATAAATATCGATAGGTCTTGTGCGGCCCGCAAGCTTCTGGAAGGACCCATGGGCTAATAGCACCGCACGAGTAGCAGGCTCTAACTTCAGTCCGAGTGCGTTTGCCACATGTAGGCCCATCATAGTATGGTCATTGCCTGGATCAATAACGGCGTTGTTGAAGTCTCGTCCCAAGGCGGTGACGGTCGTGACATCACCCTTGCCACCTTGAACGTTCCTGGCCATAGCTATTGCTGACTGACTCCTCTTAGGCTTGCTTCTTCTTGGAGGGGCATGGCGGGCCCAGGCCTCGGTAACAGCTGCCTTGAGTTGCACTGCATCTTTCCACGGTACTTGGAGTGAGTGGCCAAATCAAAATTCAATCCTTCGACCGCATCAACGAACCACTGGATCAGGAATGACGCGCTTCCTGGTACGCTTTGGCGTCGCATTTGGAGCTTCTGCAACATTATTCTCTCGCCCGTCGACCGCTCTGTCATCAAAAGTCACTGTCTGGAAGTGGGGGTCCCCAGAAGGTTGCGCACTACTAGTGGATGCCTCAGCCTCCCACTGCATTCCTCGGACAGGTGGAGTAGTGCCTCTCGTTTCCTCTCTTCGTTGAGACGATGGACCTGCAGGAGTGCCTGTCCTCTCACTGCGACGTCGCTGGGCACCTGTCGAATTTAATCGCTGTGGCTTAGTCGTGATAAATGATTGGGCGACATTAGTGGCGGAGATTTCTAAACTTTGCACTCTTAGCGAGGAGTTAGTTTGAGTGGCCAATGGGACGCTATTGGCGGCCTGTGGCGGGGCTTCCTTGTTCCTTAGTGCAAAACCCTTTCGAAGTATGGCCTCGCTCGCCACATCGGAAGCATTCCACCAATGGGCCAGAACGACAAGAGGTGCCCCTCTTGATTACATTTATGGCAGGTTCTACGGGCCATAGGGATAGCCTGCTGACTTCGAACTTCGGCGGGTTGGAGCACGGCATTAGGTCTAGCCTCCACTCTAATATGCTTGGCCAATTCAGAGGAACCAAACACTCGCCTCGCTACAGCCGGGCTTCATTCTTGAGATAGTCTGAGCGATTCGCGCCTCCGGAGTTCGCTCCTCGGCAGCAAGGGTCCAGGCTCCGAACATGTCTGTTAATTCGTCTACGCTTAATTGATTAACTTTCTCTTTGTCGTCTTTGAAGTCCGCTAGGAAGCCAGAGTAGTGCGTCCTCGGCACTAGGGTCGATCCAAGCAGAACATTCGTCTCGATTGGTGCAGCATGCTCAGCGTTGCTGCGAGCTATGACACGGCTCTCAGTGGTGTCAATGCCCCAACGATTTCCTTCAACCAATTGTGTCACTGATTCGAAGGTTTCCTTCAAGGTCGCAGGCGCTTCTTTGTTCTTGACCTTGAAAGGATGGTCTTGCCTCAAACCCTTGCAAAATCTGTACGCCAGTAGACGCTCGGTGGCTGTTGGGATCTTGTACGGCTGTGCGTCGCAACCAGACTCTGGGTCGAGGAGTTCCATGGTAAGTTTCATTCGTTGTACATAGTTGGCTGTCGTCTCATCTTCTCCTTGCTTAATAGAATGCAACTCGTCCAGGGTGACATCCTGGCTTCTAGGGGTAGAGGCCTCCATGATGAAATCGCTGACGAACTGGCTCCAGGCACCATTCGTCTTGTTTGTCATCCTCCAGCGCCTGATCCAGCGTTGGATCTTGCCTGTCGCCTGCCTCTCGACGAACATCAACTTGTTGCTCAGGGTTTCTCCTTCGATAACACCTCCAAAATCGCTGATCCATGTCGCGGCGGTTAGACCCTCAGCCTCTGCCGACGGCCACTTCGGGATCATGGTAAGAAGAATCGATAAATTGGAAGACATTGTAGCTGCCACCCCCTGCGTAGATCACCAGAAATATTGTTGCAAAATTTAGGGGCAGATGTGGTAGGAGATTTAGGTCGTTTTGGTGGATTATGAAGCCGGTCACTTCCAGCTGATAGATAAATAATTCTAACACAATAAAAGAACACACACACACTACTCGAAGACTGGACGAGAACAGTCAGTACTCAAATGGCTCTTGTGTAAAAATAAGGAACCTTTAATGATCTATGGCTACTAACGACGAACGTTGTGAGGGCTCTTTACCTGGACGAGAACAGTCAGTACTCAAATGGCTCTTGTGTAAAAATAAGGAACAAGGAGCCAGATTTTCCTGAGCTGTTGCTCGTTAAATAGTTGGTGGCGAACCCTCTACACGTGACTAAAACTAAAACCAACAATATCACAAGCGCGCAGATTACCCATTTTCAATTCCCGCTACGCCGCTTTCTTTTTTATTGTATTTTATTTTATTTTATTTTATTTACTTATTTTGTTTTATTTTATTTTATTTTATTTATTTTAATATATTTTATTTTATTTTAATATATTTTATTTTATTTTAATATATTTTATTTTATTTTAATATATTTTATTTTATTTTAATATATTTTATTTTATTTTAATATATTTTATTTTATTTTAATATATTTTATTTTATTTTATTTTATTTTTTTTTGCTTAACTCAGTGGCCGCTCTCTGTACACAGCTCAGCCGAGAGATGACCCACACAGGACGCATCCGAGTCCAAGGCTGCGATTTCAAAGATAATGAGAAGGAAAATGTCTTTATCCTCTTCCTACCACTGTACTTACGCTCACCCATATCACTCACAGCAAACAACAGGTACTTGGTTATGATGGGAAACTATCAAGCGCAAACATTTTATTTTCCTCAATCTTTGTGGATTGAACATAGCTCTAAGGAGTTGGCAGAAAAGAGCTATCCCTTCTCAAACAAGCTTGAAGACTCATTTGCGCGCGGAGCTTTGGATCCATTGATGACTTATTTCTTCCCAGCGGATGACTAGGCTTTTGCGCTTGATTGGGCTAACCGATCCTCGCTGGAGTACGGCGTACGGCAAGGGGATCCGCTGAAACCAGATGTGACGATTCGAAAGTACATTTTTGAGGCGGCTTATGCTGAGACCAAGTCGTCTAAGGACAAGCGAAGCCTACATTTATTTGTCGAAGACCAATGGAGCCTAATGAGGTTTGCCAAGGACACGATTGACGAGAACCTACGTAATGAACGGGTTGTGATGGAGATCCCTTGTCTGCAAGTGTTTGGTAAGTCTATGTGACTTATGTGGCAATAACGCGCCACACACCTTGACGAGATAAATTTTCGATATGAGGTTCTAGAACAAATCAATGCCATCTTATAGATAGATATGTAGTTACCCGCTACAGGCTCCTCTACCAGGGAATGAATAAATACCTCCATGGGTGTGGGCCCACATCTAATTCTTACTTACTTTTTCTACTGCTCACGATCTATCTACAAAATATATTTCAGTCTCGTTATCGCCGTCAGAGGTCATGATTTGAGTGGTCGTGGACATGTTCAGCCCGTTGGCATTGCCAAAGACCCCAGGAAGGCATAACAGCTCTGATTCTTTCTCGAAATAATCCATCATATTCAGCCGACTTGCACCTACCTTTCGAGCTAATAGGGTGGTGCGGGTGGGACATACATCCATGGCACCTATGACAATGTGAATAGGCCATCCTTCGTAGACCATTCAATAGAAAAAAGAGGTGAGTGGAAAGACAGAAAGTGCTGTATGTGGAAACTTATGCTTGAATGAGTAAAAGGAGGGGGAAAGTCTATCTGGTGGAATGGAGACTTTGACTGAAACTGATCAAAGTGATTGAAGCTGATTAAAAAAAAAAAAAAAAAAAAAAAACTCCATATACATATATTTATCATCAAACGATCGTGTGCCTTTTACTGGTCGATATATAAACGTTGATACTTTGTTTCACCTTCAAATCTTAATGTATTCTACATTGTATTGCATGAAAATAAAAAATAAAATAAAAAAAGGCGGAGAGGTATTCTGACGAATGTCATGTGTTATTTTCCACCACACTCTGGAAAAACGGCAAGCTGCCAAAGTACAGGCCCAACGACAGTCTATCCCATCTCTTGTTAGGAGTGAAGAAATGAAATAGAAGAAGAGGATAAAGAAGATGATCCCCTTTATCAATAAGAGTAAACAAGCTCGAGAGCAATACAGTTCATGCTCTGGTTGTTTATAGACAGGTTTTCCTTATGAGTCTTGAGGACAGAGCATTATTCCCACTTTCAATCGTGAGAGTCTCTTCTTTATCATATGAAATATGACAGATGACATCAAAGACACGTATATTATTTTATTTTTTATTTTGTTGTTGATATTTTATTGGTCGCTCTTGAGCGTACAGCAAGCAAGGTACTTAGTATAGCGCGCTTTTGAAAACCAATCACTCCTCGGCCCTTCTCCTCTTGCGCGAACGTTAATAATAATAATAAGAAACCAATATAAAAAGGACCCATTTGACTCTTCTTTTTTCTTCTTTTCTCTTCTCTTTCTCCTCGGTCTCCTCGACCATCGGCCTCCTCAACCAAGACAAAAGGTAAGCAACACTCCCTAAACAATCACTCTCACTGAAGTTCTCAACACTGTCACTCTGTGCTTCACTGTCCTTGTTCTGATTATTCTTTTTCTGCTTGTGTCTCTCTTTTCATTCCACGATTAGACTGCAACGACATGAAGCTGCCTAAAGCAACTGGGGCTTCATAACGCACAGCCAGGCTGCCACACTCAGGCGCCCATACTCGAACGGCTGCACTCCAACGAAAAGCCGTATTCAACTGGCCACGCTCCAGATGGCCACGCTCTAAACAGCCACGCTCTAAACGGCCTCATAGTCTACCGCAGTCGAACGACGGCCTTCTCCGCGGCCAAATAGCCAGCCCATCCCATCTCGGGTATGATGGCCAAGGCTTCACGAACAACACCAAATCATAGCGACCAGGCCACTTCTCATCGTGTGGTCTGGAAGGCACTGGTAACGAAAGCTCGGCGCCACCAGCAAAAGGACTAAACCAAAGAAAGGTCGAACAGTCCATCCAGGCAAAAACAAGCGCCTCCGGAATCAAATACCTCAAAAAAAAAAACTAAAGAAAAAAAGAAACCAAAAAAAAAAAAAAAAAAAAATCCAAAGAAAAAAAGAAAAAAAAATAAACCAAAGAAAAAAAAGAAAAAAGAAAAAAGAAAAAAAAATAAACCAAAAAAAACCAAAGAAAAAAAAATAACCCAAAGAAAAAAAACAATTAAAAAAAAATTAACCAAAGAAAAAAAAAAACCAAAAAAAAAAGACTAAATAAAAGCCTAAAAAAAGAAGCAAAAAAAAGATCTCATATCAGAAAAAAGAAAAAAAAAAGCCAATTAAAAACATAAGAAAGCCAAAAAAAAAAAAAAAAAAAAAAAAAAAACCCTTACTAACACAACACAAAGCACTTTTTAGCATAGCAACAATGCACATCCAAGGTGCAATAACCAATGCATATCTAAGGTAGGTCCGAACGGGCATGAGCCTGAGCTGGTTCTTTAACGAGCCTTGCGATGGCGGAGCCCCTTCGGTCCAGAATGGGAAAGGGAAAGGGAAATGGAATGGGGATGGGAAAGGGAATGGGGATGGGAATGGGTAAATAAATGTGTGTGTGTGCGGGCGTTTGCAAGGCCATGGGGCCTGACCAACGGAGCACGATATGCCAGACCACCTCCACGTGGTGTGCTCCGGACAACATCTTGGAGAGTCTTTTCGATGGTGACAAAGAAAAGCGCTTTCCAAGGTGGCTAAGAGTCTGGCTTCTTGTAGCTTAGGATAGTAACCAGGTAAGCTAGATAGCTAGATAGCAAGCAATCTCTTAATAAAAAGTATTCACACAAAAAAAAAAAAAAAAGCTTTAAAATGCAGTCTCCGAAAATTGAAAATTTAGTAGAGGCGGCATTGCTTAGATGATAGGAGGGTGAACTTATTAATGTACTGCTCCGAAAATGAGGGGTTCTGGTGCCTATTGTTATGTTATGAACAACTGGCTTTGGAAGAGAGGCTTCAATATATATATATATATTGAGAAGCACTTCCTTGGACTCTTCACCATGGAAGCACTTCTATTGTCTCCTGCACAAGTATAAATAAGGAGCACCCATGGAGCAATACTCAAAGTAAGCACTATCTTGCTGTGTGAACCGGCAACCTGCACTAGGCGGGATGGTGGGTACTCCTTGGTGACACACAGCTCCAATCCTTATGTCAGTCATCATCAAAATGTTTGCACCTCATTTACCACCAAACCTTAAAGTGTTTACATTGTCCAACAGACACCATTTTGCTATTCTTGCATTCTTGTTTATTCGCTGAATATCCATGCATGATTTCTTGGGTAATCTCACTCGTCGCCACCATTTCTCCTTATCTTTGTTGAAAGCGGACATAATTATCCGAATATGGCAATAGTCGGTTGCTTTAAAAGCAAAAGCATCTTCCTTCCACAGGGAGGGTTGATGTCATTACATTGTCACATGAAGCAAAAGGAATAATGTACGTGAAGGTAGGGAAAGCATTGAAAGAGGGATAAATAAATTTAATGCGAAGAATTAAATACAATAGTAATGAAGGTGTTGAATCAAAAGTATTGAAGGCCCTGAAGGCCCTGCAGAGCTTGGATATAATATTTTCCTCGACACACACGTTACATACTTTTTACGTGTTGCTTGTTGTTGCTCGCTCAACAAGATGGTCATAACAAAAAATAAGGCAGGCTTACCTTTGGGACATGGGCTAGAAAGGTGATGGGCTCCATGAAAAGCATCTACCAGATACTGTAGCAGACCTGAACACACTGTATTACTTTCAATCAGAAACTAGAAGGCACTAGAGTCTATGACAAGCCTGGATCCTTGTCTATTATACTTTTAGAAGCGATAAAAAAGAGAGAAGAGCGAGATGTAATGAAAAGTGTGGCTACACCCAAAGATGCATGAAAAATTAATGCATCTTTCTCTATCAATTTTTTTTTTGTTCCTTAAGAAAATGCGACCGCAAAAAAAGCATACAATGTGTAAGTCTGGGGTCAAAAGTCGTGGTGTGAGTAGTGTCTACTCATAGTCATTAAGTTTAATACCTTCGATGCTTTTTGCTTCGTTCTTCTCAGTGTCGTATCACTTTCGCTTATTACGTCAACAAATGCGAAAATTGTCGCAATGAAAGGCAACGGGATCGCTTCCGGGCTGTCCAAGCCGACAGTTTTCCATCCACCCTTTCTTTGAATTTCATGCTGTTTCAAAATGGCGTCCAATCACTTTCATTTCGCCTATATTCGGATAATTATGTCCGCTTTCAACAAAGATAAGGAGAAATGGTGGCGACGAGTGAGATTGGGAGAATGACGCTTTTCTCTCATTTTTAAGCTCGCTCTTTCTTTTGTTTTTTTTTCCTCTTCCTTTCTCCTCACTTCTCCACCTCTTCACTTCTCCACCTTCTTACCTCTCCGCTTCTTCACTTCTCCACCTCTCCGCTTCTTCACTTCTCCACCTCTCCGCTTCTTCACTTCTCCACCTCTCCGCTCTTCACTCTCCACCTCTCCGCTTCTTCACCTCCACCTCTCCGCTTCTTCACTTCTCCACCTCTCCGCTTCTTCACTTCTCCACCTCTCCGCTTCTTCACTTCTCCACCTCTCCGCTCTTCCTTCCCCCCTCCCTTCTTCACTTCTCCACCTCTCCGCTTCTTCACTTCTCCACCTCTCCGCTTCTTTCACTTCTCCACCTCTCCGCTTCTTCACTTCTTCCACCTCTCCGCTTCTTCACTTCTCCACCTCTCCGCTTCTTCACTTCTCCACCTCTCCGCTTCTTCACTTCTCCACCTCTCCGCTTCTTCACTTCTCCACCTCTCCGCTTCTTCACTTCTCCACCTCTTTATCTTTCCACCTCTCCACCTCCCCACCTCTTGAAAAGTAAGTCTCGATCGCAGTCCTTTGCCAAATACATTCACACACAAGCACGCACGCACACACTTTTTCCGTCTCTCCCTGTGACTCTTTATGTCATCCCTAACTCTCGCTCAACTACGACCGTTGCCTTCTCTTGCCGTCACTACTTTATACTAACCTACATACTTTTTGTCTCCATACTATACCAAAGGCAAAATAGCCCCCAAGAGCGGTAAGCAACGAGGAAACGATGTAAGAGAAAGTAAGGTAAGGAAGGGAAGCGGCAAGTAACCAACAAAAGAAAGAGAAATAAGAAAGAGAAAGGAGCACTGAGAAAGAGCGAATGAAAATAAACTAAGGAAGAGAAGCACATAGGAGGAGTAAGTGAAAGCAAGTGAGAAAAAAAAGAGAGAGAGAGGAGAGAGAAAGGAGGAGGGAAAGTCGAGAAAGAACAAACGGAAGCATAGCAAAGAAGTAAAGCGAGGGGAAGAACAAACAAAAAGATATGTAAGAAATGCCGGCGCCTATAAATGAAAATATGATAAGAAAGAAAAGCAAAAGGGAAACAAATGTAAGATATGGCAAGGAAAGGAAGCACTGAAGAAAAGAAAAGAAAAAAAAAAAGAAAACAAAAAAAAAAAAAAATGGAAGCACACAATGAAAGCATAATAAGAAAGAGAAGCACAGAAGGGAAACAAACGAAAGTATAATAAGTAAAACAAAACACACACATACACGCACACACAAAGAGAAACAAAGGAGGTTATAATAAGAAAAGGAAGCTATAATAAGAAAAGGGAGAAAACAAATGAAAACAACGTAAGAAAGCGAAGCATCGAAGGGAAACAAAGGAAAGGATAACTCGAAAGTGAAGCGTCGAAGAGAAGCACATGAAAGTATATTTAAAAAGTGAAGAGCCAAGGAAAACAAATGAGGAAGTGAAGCAGCAAGAAAGAAAGCATAACAAGGAAGTGAAGCAGCAAGAAAGAAAGCATAACAAGGAAGTGAAGCATCGAAGAAAACAAAGGATAGCATAGTAAAAAGGTGAAGCGTCGAGAAAAGCAAATGAAAAAATAACAAGACAGCGAAGCAATGAAGGAAAGCGTAATAGAACATAACACGGAAGAGATGCGCCCAGGAAAACATAGAAAAGGATAACAAAAGTGGAGTACCGAAAAAGAGATGAAGGCATAACAGGAAAGTCAAGCATGGAAGAAAGAAATGGAAGCGTAGCAACCAAGTGAGGCATTGAAGGATAAAGTATGGAAGCGTAATAAGGAATTGAACCATCAAAGGCTAACAAGAAAGTGAAGCACCAAAGGATAACAAAAAGTAACCATCAAAGGATAACAAGGAAATGAACTAGCAAAGAATAACAAGTGAAGCACCAAAGGACAACAAGGAAATGAATCATCAGAGGATAACAAGGAAATGAACCATCAAAGCACAGCAAGAAAGTGAAGCAGCAAAGAATAATAAGAAAGGAAGTATCAAAGGATAGCAAGAAAGTAGACCATCAAAGGATAGCAAGAAAGCGAACCATCAAAGGATAGCAAGAAAGCGAACCAGCAAAGAATAGCAAGGAAATGAACTAGCAAAGGATAGTAAGAAAGTGAACCATCAAAGGGTAGCAAGGATATGAACTAACAAAGGATAGCAAGAAAGTAAACCATCATAGGATAACAAGGAAATGAACTAGTAAAGGATAGTAAGAAAGAGAACCAGCAAAGGAGAATGAGTCAAAAGATAACAAGCGTTAAAGAAATACAAACGAAAGCATGACAAGAAAATAGAAAGCGAAACAAACGGAAGCATAGCAAAAAAGTGAAAGCAAATGAAAGTACAGAAAAGAAAGCGAATACCGGGAAGAAGTTTTTTTTATATATTTTTTTCTTCAAGGGTAAGGGGCTGTATAGGGTGGTAGGGTGGACAGTCTCAAGTAAACAAGGTAGCTATCAAGAAGTAAATGAAAGTACAAGATAGTGAAGCATCAAAGGATAATAAGAAAGTAAACCATCAAAGGATAGCAAGAAAGTAAACCATCAAAAGATAACAAGAAAGAGAACCAGTAAAGGAGAATGAGTGAAAAAATATAACAAGTGTTAAAGGAATACAACGAAAGCATGACAAGAAAGTAGAAAGAAAAACAAACGGAAACATAGCAAGAAAGTGAAAGCAAATGAAAGTACAGGAAAGAAAGCAAATTCCGGAAAGAAGTTTTTTTTTTATATTTTTTTCTTCTTCAAGGGTAAGGGACTGTATAGGGTGGTAGGGTGGACAGTCTCAGGTAAGTAAGGTAAGTACCAAGAAGTCAATGAAAGTAAAAGTAAGAAAAGAAAACACCAAACAACAAAACGCAAAATAAAAAAGTAAACGAAAGTACTAACGAAGAAGAGAAGTAGCAGAAAAGGTTAATAAAAGTGAGGAACAGGACAAGGAAGCAAGAAAGATTACACCATTAGATGTTCGACCCTATATCAAAGGCACATCTCCAGAATATTTGGACACCCTCGCTTTCGAACACTCGTGAAAAAAAGGCAAGAGTATAATTATATCTATGAATGTGCTATTATTATTTGATTGATACCTGATTTACATGTTGCTTCATCGGAGCAATCCAGCACTTGCACTAATTATTCTTTCATATCTTTTACTACTATTATCTTTATAACAATGAGAATGTAAACAAGACCTGCCGCTACCGTATAATTAATGGTATCATAAATAGAGATTTAATGTTTCTACTATAATGAAGTATTCTTGATTCAGGCCTCATTTCTTGCAGACTTTTGCTTTTGGTGCCTGATGTTTATTCTTGTTTTCTTTTATCTTGTGAACGAGGTATCTCTTAGATGAATATTATTATACCCGAAGAAAGGCGTCTTTGATGAGAGGACATACAAGAAAGGCAAACCTTCGCCTACGACGAAGTTACAACATTACCAATCCCTCTTCCGCTGAAATGACTTTCCGCTCAGTGTGGTATCATGAGAAAAAGTAAAATTTATTATTTTAGATCTTTTATTGGCCATAATGGGTACGATCTTCATGCAGTTCTTTAATAGAAGATTGTTGGCAAATGCTCTTTTTCAATAGTTCAATAGTTCTAGATTCTCGGCGCTGATTGTTTTTGAAATGGGGGCCTTTATGGCTCTAAGATCATCAAGTTGTCATCCCCATAACACGAATCTTTTGACTTGGGTCTCCTCTTGTTCAACAGGAAATGTTCGGAATGTAAACACTCTTGTTGTATTAGAAGGGATGGCAACTGTTATGGTTTGTGAAGTATCCATATAACAACCTTAAATTACTTAACATCTATGTTCAGAAAGTGTGAACGACAATAAAATATGTGAAACACGGAAACAACCAAAGCTGTATTTTTCTCTTACAAGTGATGAAGTGGTCCATTGTATGGTGAGCGTCTTCGTTTGAGGCAAGATATCCCTTGCAGTGATATATATGGGACTGATATAGTTTTTTGCTATCATGTCAACATTTTCATTTCTCTATTTCAGAAAAAAAAAAAGAAAACTCATGTTGGTATGCTTAGTACATCAGTACAATACACTGTTTATATTCATTCCACCAGACCCTGAATTGAGCGGAGAGGAAAGCAAAATGTCGTTGCCCATAAAAGGCAACAAAATTTGGCTCGCATGTTAGATGCAAGCTTCCCTCTCTGACTGGATTCGAGCCTAGGACTCATGTAGTGCATGTAAAGGTGTTGAAGGCTCTGAAGGTAATGCTATTTGGCAGCCCAGCTGCCAAATAGAGTTTTCAAAGTTGACTATATTTGGTAATGGGCTGCTAAATAGATTAATCCTTTCAAAAAAAAAACTTTGACGGACAGAAATCCGCTGTACAATTGTTAAGGATGAAGTTATTTGTACGGCCCCCGTGCAAATAAATATTCACTTATAAAAAAAATTATTTGCACTGCCCTGTACACACCTTATTTGCACAGGGGTCTTTTTTTATTTGCACGGGGTCTTTATTTCATCTACAAACGGCAACATGTATCCTACAGACTAGATGATTCTAGATTTTTATTTCGACGGAAATAAGCGGAGATGAGTCTAGAGTAGGAAAGAGTCTGGATTTATTACTGCTAGAAGTTGCAGCGCCGTGGGAGCTGTGATACTCATCGCGCTCCGTTGCATATTTCACAGTATGCAAAATTATAATGGCCAATGCGCTAAAAAGGTTAGCAGTAGAAATTAGCGGCAATAACGCGCCACACATGAACGCGATAAATCTTTGATATGAAGTTTTTAGAACGAACCTATGTCATCTTATAGATAGATACGTAGTTACCTGGTACAAGTCCCTCTATCAGAAAGTGAATAAATACCCATGGGTGTGGTGTGTGGACCCACATCTTATTCTCACTTACTTTTCTACTGCTTACTATCTATCTACAAAATATTTTTCACGCTCTATTCCGCTCTACAGTCACCCGAAATAAAGTCAGGTCAAAGTGGGTTATTTATTATTATTTTTTTTTTATTTTGAATCTCTGACAAACAGCTCATTTGCGACATACAAAAATACTTCACCAACCAAGATGGAAATTTACGCTTTTATTAACGAGACCAATGTAGATAATCACTGAAGTTTTTGGGCAGTACATGCTGAGGGAAAACGACAAGAAATAGGATTGAAGACAGTGCTTCTCTTCATAGCCATTTCAAAATTTTATTTTTTTGACCAAACTTTCTTTTAGATGATTGTACAATATGAAGCTAGTCCCTAGACGCAGCGAGCATATACATGTGCTGCTGAGTATGCGACATTGCGTGCTAAAGACGACCTAAGGCAAGTTCTGGCTATTAGTGGTGAAAAATCAACCCTGTTGAACATGATAACAAACTTGGAATGTAATGAGACAAAAATAAGGATCTTTATCGACGTAACAGAAAAGAGTATTTATGTCTCTTTTCTATCACTATAAGTCACGGTTGTGCTATTAAAATATTTTAGCTATTTAGATATAAGGGTATAGGTAATTGTGGCACGATCGACTTTGAGTGCGAACTGCCACCAACTATCAAAAGATAAGTAATCTCTCGGGTTACAAACGGGTGAGGGGATAGACATTCCACAAAATAAACTGAGGTCTACCCATTGTATTTTGGTGAATTTGATAAACAGGATTTAGTACTGAGGGCGCTTGAGCTCTTAATAAAGAAGGACAGAGATAAGGACATATAAGAAAGAGAAAAGAAAGAGAGTAGTAACACGGCACGCTATGCATTGTAGCAATGATTATGGTAGTATGATTGTTTGTATATCTACCGAAACAAACTACACATTAGAGGTTCCTAATTACTGAACTCATCGTTGTGTGCTTAATAGTGTACGGAAATACTAGAGATGTATGCACGCGCTAAATGAAAGAAAGCATCGGGGAACCATCCACAATCTATAACAACAGGACCAACAAAAGTGCAAAGTAGAGCGGCATAGTATATTTCAATTATAGATAAATCATTTGTAGTTCTTTATTTAGTCCCAGAGCCGCAAAAAGAGTATCAACATCTACTCTGAGCTACGTACGGCCTTGATAAGATAAATATTCTGGCCAGTATTTGATGCTTGAGTATCGGCTCTGGATCTGAACTTGTGTCGTCGAAGGCTTCTTTGTAGTGGTATTTAAGACTGAAATAAAGATCCCGTACAAATAAATAAAAAAAAAAAAAAAAAGACCCCCGTGCAAAATATCTTTTTCCATTGTTAAAGGACAAAATGCGTGAGATAAACTCCGAGTGCAAAAGACAAAAGATTGGAGAACCTGGGCATCGATCCCAGTGCCTCTCGCATGCTAAGCGAGCGCTCTACCATTTGAGCTAGATCCCCGATAGTGTGCTAAACCCATGTAAGCAGCTAGATCCCCGATTCGCTCGAGGTTGATGACAGCTTTAGGATTATCACCTATATATACTCTAAACGAGAATCACATATGAGTAGTCGATCACGTGGACGATGTCTTATGTTAAGTATTTTTTTTATAAAAAAAAAAAAAAGTCTTATGCTAAGTACCACAAATTGTTATCGCCCAATGGCTGAGTAGTATACTCGTCAGGCCACAAAATGGGGAGAGTCAGAAGAGTATGATGTTATTGCGTTACAAGAGACAAATATGAATCATGGTGCGAAAATAGCAGCAGACTATATAAAACAAGAAAGTTATAAATTTTGGTGGTTAACAGGTGAGGAAGGGAAAACGCGAGGTACGGGAGTCGGCCTCATTATCCACAAGTGGCTATGGGTACATGCTGGGAGAATATCCTCATGTGGAAGCAGAGGGCAGTCTAGAGATTTTAATTTCAAAGGACAATTAAAGCTTCGGGTGATTAATTGTTATGTACCCAGTGAAGATAGAACGAATCGTGAAAAGGAAAAGCAGCGCAGAGAATTAAGCGAGTGGCTCAAAGGAGAATGTATTAGTGCAAGAGCAGAACGCAGGGAGGTAATTATTATGGGAGGCTTCAATGGGGTATGCAATCCCAGGATTGACAGAAAAAACTGCACAAGGACCAGCACCAATCCAGAAACCGATATCCTAAAATGGCTACAAACAGAGCAATTCTACGACACCTACAGGGCGTTACACCCAACAACACAAGACTTTACATGCCAAGGTGTCAGC